TGTCTCCCTACGCATTTCAGATATATTGACCTCTTTTAGCCACTCTGTTATTCTTTTCCATCGCCTGTAAAGGGAGCGCCTGTCTCTTTCTATTTTACATCTACTCTTCCTTTTTCTTAGAGGAATAAGCCTTGTGCATACATCGAGTGCCACCAAGTTAATCTGTTCTAGGCATACGTTGGGGTCTGTGTTGCTTAGTATATCTTCCCAGCTTATATCGGTTAGGACTTGGTTTACTTGGTCCCACTTTATGTTTTTGTTATTGAAGTTGAATTTTGGGGAATGCTCCCTCGTGACTAATCTCATTATGTCGGTCTGGGGCTCCGCGCATACATGTCTGAACCTCAATTATGTTGTGATCTGAGTATATTGTTTTTGATGTGGTGACATTTCTTATCAGATCATCATTGTTAGTGCAGATGAGGTCTAGTGTATTCTCCAGTCCTAGTAGGCTCTATTATTTGCTGGTTTAAATTGAATTTGTGCAGAGATTTAAAGCTCGTGTGAGTGTGAGTTTCATCAGAGTTGCCTCCTGGTGTTATTACTGCAACAATATTATTTGCTATATTCCTCCATTTTAGGTGCCTTAAGTTGAAATCCCCCAGGAGCAAGATGTTGGGTGCAGGAGCTGGAAGATTTTCCAGATAGTGGTCAATTTTTAACAGCTGTTCCTGGAATTGCTGGGATGTTGCATCCGGAGGCTTGTAGACTACCACAATGACTAGGTTTGGTTCTCGACCTTTACTGCTAAAACTTCCACTACATCATTTGAGGCATTTAGCAGTTCTGTGCAAACAAGTGACTCTGCAATGTACAGGCCAACCCCCCCCTTTTGCCTGTTTACTCTGTCACATCTGTATAGGTTGTAACCTGGGATCCATATTTCGTTGTCCAAGTGATCCTTCATGTGGGTCTCAGTGAAAGCCGCGAACATTGCCTTTGCCTCTGCAAGCAGTCCACGGATGAAAGGTATTTTGTTGTTTGTTGCTGGCTTTAGACCCTGTATATTTGCAAAGAAGAATGTCATCGGACTGGTGGTATTGTTGGTACTGGGGGGGGGGGATTTTTTCTCCGGCATTAGTATCTGTATCTGTTGGTTTGGAGTGGAGGCTATCGACTGTGGTTCCACTCCAGGAATGACTGGATTTGGTGTACGATTTCTGCCATTTCCTACCAGTTTTTTTTCGTTCCTGGCACTAAAAAACCTCTCCCTCTTGAGTGGCTGTGGCTACCCAGGTTCTCCCATGGCCTGGATGTTTTGTATCTTTTTGTACCCTTTAGATGGTGTGCCTGTCAATTTAAGTTATAGCACAGTCTTTCCTGTACTGAAGAGGTACACATTTCAGGGTGAAAAAGCTTACAGGAAGGGAGTTTGCATTTTCCTGTTGTCATAAGGGCATGGCATTTTCTAGGGTGGTCATAGTTGCACGTCCCGTCTGTTTTTCCAGATTTCCTATGTCTGCAGATACCAAGTGCATAGTATGTGCACAGGCTTGGTTTCCATTTGCCTTGGATTTCTGTGACTGTATTCCCTGTTGGTGCACGTTTCCCTGTCTTATTCCTATCCTCCCTAGCACCAACAATGGAGCTCCCACCAGTTGTTTTTGGTAATATATCCTCACTATAGCTAGTGGAGTCCTCTTGTTTGCTATTTCCTGTGGTATTTCTAGTTTGCAATATTGGTTTTATCTTATCTTTGACTACACTTGTTTCCCCACTACGGCTCCTGTCCCCCTCCTGTCTCCAGCTTCACCATTACTGTCTCCCAGGACAGCACCTCCAGCTTCACCATTACTGTCTCCCAGGACAGCACCTCCAGCTTCACCATTACTGTCTCCCAGGACAGCACCTCCAGCTTCACCATTACTGTCTCCCAGGACAGCATCCTCCAGCTTCACCATTACTGTCTCCCAGGACAGCACCTCCAGCTTCACCATTACTGTCTCCCAGGACAGCACCTCCAGCTTCACCATTACTGAGGTAATCTGCATTGCTAGCTTTTAGTTCCTGCATTTCTTGAGTTATGTGAAAATTTGTCTGGACTGCCTCCAAGTGAGTCACCTACCCTGGCAAGCTCTGTTGACACCAAGCTCTGAGGTCGGTACCTCAGCCTCACAAGTGCCTTATAGGACAGATTTTCATAAATGACTGAAGTTGCAAGAAACTCGCCTACATGCACGTATAAAGGACTAACTTACTTGGTGTTGCAGCATATATCCTGATCTTCAACCTCCCTAAGCTTAGCCCCTTTGGACTTCCCCTCAGAAACCACTTGCAACCGGGAGCCTTAATCCTGCAATATTCAATTGTTATTAGTGACCTGCCTTCTCCTCAGAAATTCTTATATCCAAGGGGGTGTGTACCCCCTTATTTCGAATGCAAAACACAGACATTTGCTTCTGGGTTTGACAAGAGACACGGGTACATCTGGGATACACTGCTGGCCCCCCAAAACAGGCCCACAGTTAAACTCAAAATTTTTCCCCCCCAGACCTGGCCAAAAACCTACGAGAAAAAGTGGAGGTCTTGCCCTTACTTTTTGGGCCTGACAGAGGGGTAATTTTACAGAAATTCGAGGTCCCCTCTACCGTTTTCCCCCAGGTCTCATATGCAAAGGGACACGGGGGGGGGCCCCCGTCGGGGCCGTTCATGGACTGTTGTCCAGGTGATGTCTGGTCTGGGGGAAGGGAATGAGCTGGTCTTTTCCCGACCCATGCCTCGTCATTAAAACTGGGGTTTGCCTTCCCCCTTTTTAATTTAAACCCTAGTGTTGCCTACTTTAAATTGGGGCCTATTACTACCTATTTTTAAGGTTTTAAGGCCCTACATTATTATTATCTTCAGTTGCCTCAATAATCCTAATAAATTTTTGTGTACAAACCCGTAAACCACCTACCTTTTTCCCTGAAGGGTAAAAACTTTAAAATTTAAAAAGTGCCTACCCTCCATTTCCCGCCAACCCCCAGGAAAAGAATGTTTGTTTTTTTTTTGGGTTGGGTGAAGGGGCCCCCCAGCTCCCGCCGTTCCATAAAGGCCATGTGGGAAACCCTTTTTTGCTGAAACTGTCCGTGGAACTTTAGGGACCAAATAAAAATTTTCCCCAAGTTAGTTTTTGGGGATCGTTTTGGGTTTTGAATCGGTTTAAAGGGGTTTTGCTAATTTTTGGGTTTGGTGATCTTCTTGACATCAAATCCGGGGAAAGGGGTTTTTCTTGGACTGTGGCGGGGGGCCAAGTTTTTTTGTTTTGTTTGTCGTTTTGTTGTTGTGCCGGTTTGGGGGAGGAAAGGGGGGTTCCTGGCTGCCAGACCAAAGTTTTCCTAAATTTTTTTAATGGTTTTTAAAACCCTTTTATGTTAGGAGTTTTCCTTTTGCCTTTTTTTTTTTTTTTTTTTTTTTTTTTTTTTTTTTAAATCCTTTTTTTATTGCTCTGGGCCCTTGTTTCCCTTTGGGTGGCTTCGAGTGAATGTAGGGATGGTGGGGGGGGCCCAAAAGTTTTGGGGGGTAATTTCTTCAGTGGAAACGGGGGGAGGTGGTAATGCAGTCCTTTTAGTTGGTTTAAATTTGTGTATTTTTGGGGGAATTTTTGCAGGGTTTATTTTTATTTATTTTGGGTTCCAAACATGTTAGTGTTTTTTGGGTCTTGATTAGGCCAAACATGGGTGCTGGGAACCTCAGGTAGAAAGTAAAAATAGAGGACAAAGGGTTCCCCGTTTCCCGGGGCCCTGGGCCCTTCCGTCCGTTGATGGATGGACATAAGTAAATAAGTAAAATTTTTCAGGGATACACAAATACCCGTTACATAAATTTTTTTAAACATAGCAGATATGTATGAACTAGGATAACCCAAAAAAAATAGACAGAGTGAAACCGGGTAAAGGAAAAAAACGTTCAATGTTTACACCCCTTCGCCGGGGAATTTGAACCCCATTTCTCCCCGTGTTTAAATGAGGGGCAAATTTGGGCCCCCCCAGCCCCGGGCAACCCG